CTCACAGAGCCAGACTAAGGCTCCCATAGGGGCCGGTGTTAATCACTGGGGCTCACAGAGCCAGACTAAGGCTCCCAGAGGGGCCGGTGTTAATCACTGGGGCTCACAGAGCCAGACTAAGGCTCCCATAGGGGCCGGTGTTAATCACTGGGGCTCATAGAGCCAGACTAAGGCTCCCATAGGGGCCGGTGTTAATCACTGGGGCTCACAGAGCCAGACTAAGGCTCCCAGAGGGGCCGGTGTTAATCACTGGGGCTCACAGAGCCAGACTAAGGCTCCCAGAGGGGCCGGTGTTAATCACTGGGGCTCACAGAGCCAGACTAAGGCTCCCATAGGGGCCGGTGTTAATCACTGGGGCTCACAGAGCCAGACTAAGGCTCCCAGAGGGGCCGGTGTTAATCACTGGGGCTCACAGAGCCAGACTAAGGCTCCCAGAGGGGCCGGTGTTAATCACTGGGGCTCACAGAGCCAGAATAACGGCGAGGGTGGGTGACTGGGCGTCACTGCTGGTTTAAGTAAAGGGAACTGTAGACTTTTGCTACCAATCACTTCCATAAACAGCTCACCACACCCAGAAACTCCACTTCAACCAGACACAGATAATGACCCCCAAGTCGCCTCTAACCGGCTGTTGCGGCAAGTGCTGTTAGCGGGTGGCGCCTATCCAGGTCGGCAAGGCACACGAGGGAGTGGTGTTGCCAGAGGCAGCGCTGTGGCATGGCCACCTCTCAGCCACACGGTCGTCGTGTGTCAGTGCGGAGCTCTGCCACGTGGCCAGGCAGGAGCTCCCCACCTGGGTGCCAAGTCCACCTGGAGCGCTCCGTGTGTTGCCTGCCCCGCGCTCGCTCGCTCGCACCCGGAGTCGTCCACTCGCCCCGTCGCCGCCGCCACCGCCGCCACGTGTCGCGTCGCTCCCTCGCGACCACACGGGGTGCCGGCTCGCGCCGCCCGTGGGGAGGCTGTCCGGGGTCTCCAGTCTCTCTCCTCCAGACTCGCACACGGCTGCTGCTCTCCGCATGGCTGGTGGCGCTGTTCCTGCAAGGACATTCCAGCTGTTGACATTTAGACCTTTTATGGCGGGACCCCGGGGTCCCATAAGCCCCCGGCTCTCGCATAAACATATGTCAACAAAAACTTTGCTCTTTTTCACCAATGGATTTGAAGGATGGTGGCAAGTGTTCTCTTTTTAAACTATGCCTTTAAAACTGAAAACTGCTTACCTGCAGTACCTCTATTTAAATTCACTAAAAAATGTACACCCCTCTTTCAATCATCGGGGTTCTCAGTGTGGATTTGTGAACACATTCTGTAAACAGTACATAAAATAGTACACGTTTTCAATGCGCTGTTCATATTGTAACAAGCGTTTATACCAATGTCCTCTTATTCACATTGATACGAGCGTTGGGGACTATGGCTTCACCGCAAAAAAAAACTATCTGCACAGATGCATATATACGTTCAAGAGAAGTATCAAACAGGAGGAATTTACGGTGCAACGCATCTCATCTGTTAAATATCTGCAGGTAATAGGATTGTCATCGATTGATCCTGGCTGCAAACATTGGTAGGTCACATATACTAATGAAGATAAGAGAGCAGTTTCACTGTATTATGCAAACCGTTATGACAAAGGACTTAAGTGGTGTAGGCAGTTTGAGCAGCTTTGGACAAGACTCATGATCCTGCCCGTACCCGAGCGTGGAGTGCAGCATTCGCTTGTTCAGCTCTTCTGCGCATTCGTCCTCGCCGCCGCTGCGCTTGGACACGACAACGGAACGATCCGCGCCAGGCGGGTCGCGGCGTTTATGTGCGCGGTGGGACGGAGTCGGCAAAAATAAATGAATAAATTACGATTTTGACTTCCGTTTATTCGGGACCCCGGGGTCCCGCCATAAGGTTCATTTGTGGGTTTGGGGACGACTTGTGATGATGCGGGAGGTGTCATTGGTGGTAGTCGTGGTGATGGGAGCAGTAGTGCAATGTGCTTCGAACCCGGCGACCCGAGTTCAATTCCCATTCACGGCCAACACCAGTGATTGCGATTATCTTAACCGGTCCTGGGGCTCCCCTAGGTCTACTCAGCCTCAAATAAGTACCGGGTGCGGTGTGCAAAAACGTCGCCACTGGGGAGACAGGCCGTCGGGTGTGGTGTTGGCCACCCACCCCCTCGTGCCGTGCCAGTCTTCATAGGTGCTTGCTAAATGTACTTGGCCCAACAGTCTTTGGTGGTGGCGGTGGTGCCTGGTTAATAAAGAACATCACAAGAAATGGTAAACATCAATGGGACTCTCACCTCGTCAAATAAAGGACGTCAGTCACTTGAGACGGTGAATTTAAATGGGGGCTCTCGCCTGGCTAAGTAAAGGACATCGTTCGTCCGTGAGTGTAGTGGTGGTGTGGATGGCGGGTGGGCTGGGAGCCAGCCTGCAGGTTGCACTGCGGCGGTGCTGATGCGGTATTCACCGTGGGTATTAATAGTGCCGCACACGGGCTCACGCGCCGTGCGTTCACGTCCCCACAGGAGTCAGGAGCTGCGCTCTCCACATCCTGGGACCTGGTTTGTCTCTTTGGTGGTCTGAGTGAACTATGGACTCTAGAACTTGATCTGACTATCGGCGCTAGAACTCGGTCTAACTATAGACTCTAGAATTTGGTCTAACTATCGGTTCTTGAACTTGGTCTAACTATAGACTCTAGAACTCGGTTTGATTATAGACTCTAGAACTTGGTATAACTATAGACTCTAGAACTTGGTATAACTATAGACTCTAGAACTTGGTCTAACTATAGGCTCTAGAACTTGGTCTAAGTATAGACTCTAGAACTCGGTCTGACTATAGTCTCTAGAAGTTGGTATAACTATAGACTCTAGAACTTGGTCTGACTATAGGCTCTTGAACTTGGTCTAACTATAGACTCTAGAACTTGGTCTAACTATAGACTATAGAACTCAGTCTGACTATAGACTATAGAACTTGGTCTAACTATAGACTATAGAACTTGGTCTAACTATAGACTATAGAACTTGGTCTAACTATAGACTATAGAACTTGGTCTAACTATAGACTATAGAACTCAGTCTGACTATAGACTCTAGAACTTGGTCTGACTATAGACTATAGAACTTGGTCTGACTATAGACTATAGAACTTGGTCTAACTATAGACTCTAGAACTTGGTCTAACTATAGGCTCTAGAACTTGGTCTAACTATAAACTCTAGAACTCAGTCTGACTATAGGCTCTATAGAACTCGGTCTGACTATAGACTCTAGAGCCTGGTCTGACTATCGACTCTAGAACTCGGTCTGACTATAGACTCTAGAACTCGGTCTAACTATAGACTCTAGAACTCGGTCTAACTATAGACTCTAGAACTTGGTCTAAGTATAGACTCTAGAACTCGGTCTAACTATAGTCTCTAGAAGTTGGTCTAGCTATAGGCTCTAGAACTTTATCTGACTATAGGCTCTAGAACTCGGTCTAACTATAGTCTCTAGAACTTGGTATAACTATAGTCTCTAGAGCTTGGTCTAACTATAGACTTTAGAGCCTGTTATGACCTGACTATAGGCTCTAGAACTTGGTCTAACTATAGGCTCTAGAACTTGGTCTACCTATAGACTCTAGAACTCGGTCTGACTATAGTCTCTAGAACTTGGTCTGACTATAGACTCTAGAACTCGGTCTAACTATAGACTCTAGAACTCGGTATAACTATAGACTCTAGAACTTGATCTGACTATAGACTCTAGAACTTGGTCGGACTATAGACTCTAGAGCCTGGTCTGACTATAGTCTCTAGAACTTGGTCTGACTATAGACTCTAGAACTTGGTCTAACTGTCGACTCTAGAGCTTGGTCTGACTATAGACTATAGAACTTGGTCTGACTACAGACTCTAGAGCCTGGTCTGACTATAGTCTCTAGAACTTGGTCTGACTATAGACTCTAGAACTTGGTCTGACTATAGACTCTAGAACTTGGTCTGACTATAGACTCTAGAACTTGGTCTGACTATAGTCTCTAGAACTTGGTCTGACTATAGACTCTAGAACTTGGTCTGACTATAGACTCTAGAGCCTGGTCTGACTATAGTCTCTAGAACTCGGTCTAACTATAGACTCTAGAGCGTGGTCTGACTATAGACTCTAGAGCCTGGTCTAACTATAGACTCTAGAACTCGATCTGACTATAGGCTCTAGAACTTGGTCTGACTATAGACTCTAGAGCCTGGTCTAACTATAGACTCTAGAACTCGGTCTAACTATAGACTCTAGAACTCGGTCTAACTATAGACTCTAGAACTCGGTCTAACTATAGGCTCTAGAACTTGGTCTAACTATAGACTCTAGAGCTTGGTATAACTATAGACTAGAACTCGGTCTAACTATAGACTCTAGAACTCGATCTGACTATAGGCTCTAGAACTTGGTTTAACTATAGGCTCTAGAGCCTGCTATGACTTTCCACTTGATAACCTGGTCTGTCTATAGACTTCAGAAACTAGTATATCTATAGACTCCGGAACATGGTCTGACCATAGATTCTGGAAACGGATCCATATATCGACTCAAACACCTAGTTTAGTCTATATTCTAATATCTCTAAACACAGTCTGTAGATTATGACATCTTTATATCCTAGTCTATAGAATATCATATCTCAAGACATGAGTCACTATAGATTCGGATTTTCCTTCTCTCTGGAACCAACCCATACATTCTTCTCTCTTGCTCTCTCTAGAACTTTTTCTCAACTGGAAATCCACGTCTATGTTGATTCTCCAAGACCTTGTCCATGTAGAACCTCACCTTCCTAAAATTGCATGACATGGACTCTAGAACTTTAAACCTGTCACCCGATGGAACTTGCCCTCTGTCCTATCCCTAACCCAGGCTCGCAATGTTGCAACCTCGACTCAGTCTCGTCTCTCTCATGTCTACCTCTGTCTCTCTCCTGTCTCCCTCTGCCTCTTTCCTCTGTCTCTTTCCTGTTTCCCTCTCTCTCCTGTTTCCCTGTGCCTCTCTCCTCTGTCTCCTCTTTCTCTCCTCTGTCTCTCTCTTCTATCTATTTCCTGTCTCTTTCCTCTGTCTTCTCTGCTACTCTCTGTCTCATCTGTCTCTCCTCTGTCTCTGGTCACTTTCTATCTCCCCTGTCCCTCTCTCCTCCTCTGTCTCTCTAGACCGTGGTCCAGACTTGAGGTTCTAGAAAATCCCTGGTTACGAGGTTTTAGTTGAGTTGCTCCAAGGGCTTTGCGGGAATGGAGGAGCAGCACGGAGAGGGGACTGTGATGTGGTATCTGCACCAAGGTGGGTTTCACATCTAAACCTCTCTGTCTCTCTTAGGGCTTCATTATGGCCGTGTGGGAAATACCGAGAGCCTGGGTTCAATCCCTGAGTCTGGGTCTCTCTCAGTTACAGTTCAGTGCAGATGCTGGTTTGAAAGCAGGGGTGATGATGGTGGCAGTGTAGCGGCTAGCGCACTGTGCTACGAATTCGGAAACCTGGGTTCGATTCCCGCTCATGGTCAACACCATTGACGATTATCTGAACCGGTCCTGGTCATCCCCTAGGTCGACTCAGCCTTAAATGAGTACCTGGTGCAGTGTATAAACATCGCCACTAGGTAGATAAAGGCGACCAGGCATGGTGCTGGCTACCTACCTACCCCGTGCCGGCCTTCATAGGTGCTATTCATTAACACCACTTGCCCCAACAATGTGTTAAGAGGTGACAGGGGGAGATCTTTGTCTTTGATTGGTAGTGATGGTGGTGAGATTGCTATGGCTTTTGAATGCAGTGGTGATGGTGGTGAAGGTGGTGATGGTGATGGTGAGAGTAATTGTTTTGATGGTGATGATGTTGATAGCAATGTTTTGATGGTGGTGATAGTGATGGCGGTGATGGTGATAGCGATGTTGTTTTGAAGGTGGTGATGGTGGTGCTGGTGACGGTTGTGGTAATGTTGTTTTGAAGGTGGTGATGGTGGTGCGATTTTATTTTGAAGGTGTTGATGGCAGTGCGATGTTGTTTTGAAGGTGGCGATGGCGGTGGTGGCAGTAGTGGCGATGTGGGGACAACATCCGCCACTGACCTTAACGACCTCAAGCAGAGGGCGAGGGATGGATCTGCTGATGCCCAGGTGGAGGTGAGTGGTGGTGATGGTGGAGGTGGTGGTTATGGTGATGGTGTAGGTGGTGATTGACAGTGGTGGTAGTGGACGTGATGCTGGTGGAGGTGATGGAGATGATGGTGATGGTAGCTCTAGAACTTGATCTAACTATAGACTCTCGAGGCTGCTCTGACTTGCTTGCCTGACCGCATTACAGCACTGGTTTCAAGATCATGACCTCTCCCTAAACCCGACCAAATCCAAGACCATCTTAATTGGCACTCGGCAAAGACTGGTTTCACTCCCACTCCCCTCGGGAATCTCAATTGCTGGTTCCTTTGTTCCATTCTCCGACCATCTGACATTTCTCGCGTCACTCTGGATCCCACTCTCTCCTTCGACACCCTTGTCAATCTCGTTCTCAAGTCCTGCAACTACCATCTCAGGGCCCTCTGCCATCTACATCCGCTCATCACCTCTGACATCGCAAATACTCTTGCCTGCAGCATCGTTGAGTCGCAGCTCGACTATTGTAACTCAGTCCTCGTTCAGTCCTCTCCAGACAACCAAAATAAGCTACAACGCCTCCAAAACCACATTGCCCGAGTTGTCCATGGCCCCCGCAATCCTGGCCCTGACTCCCTGTCCATCCTTCGGGCCCTTTATTGGCTGCTTATTTCGACCAGAATATACCTTCAAGATCGCTTGCCTCTGCTACCGTGCCCTAAAATCCAGTTACCTACGTACCTAAGTTCTCTGCTGATGCCTTACACTTCAATTAATCGTAGAAACCTTCGTAGTGCATCACAGAACCTTATTGAAACTCCCAGGACAAGGACTGTTGTTTCTCCATCGCAGCCCCCGTCATCTGGAATGCCATTCTTATTAACATCCGTAACGATCCATCATTTTCTTCATAAAAAAATAATCTAAAGGTGCATCTCTTCAGCTCGACATTTAACCGCGTCTCCCTGGAACCACGCGACGCGATCTGACACTGCTCGGCTCCGCACCTTATAATTGCGTCTTCGGTCCGCAACATTGCGTGCGATATAAATTGTATTATTATTAGAGGTGATGGGGTAGTGATGGAGGTGACAGTGTTGGAGATGATGGTGATGGTGGTGAAGATCATGGTGGTGGTAGAGGTGATGGGGGCGAGTGCGTTTGCGTGGCACCTGCAAGGAGGGTGCTGCCGGGCTGTTTTGAGGTTACTGTTGAGGAGTTCACTGCTGCAAGGGTTCAGCATTGGGGGGCGGGAGCGGGGGTGTTGGGTCGATGTTAGTTCCACTGTGGGTGTGGGTTTAGCTATGGGAGGAGGAAACTAGAGAACCCAGGGGAAACTCGTTCAAACTTCTCTCTCGCTCACTGTCATTCAAAAAAGACAAAGATTCTCCATATAGCCTTAACAGACTGTAGGGGCAAGTGCCTTAGCGAGCACCTATGAAGGCCGGAACGGTACACGAGGGGGTGGGTGGCCAGCACCACGCCCGACCGCCTTTGTCTCCCCAGTGACAATGTTTACACACCGCACCAGGTACTAATTTGAGGCTAAGTCGACCTAGGGGAGGCCCAGGACCAGTTATGGTGTTGGCCTTCATAGGACTTTATGTCCTAGGAAAGACACAAATGCACACGTTTTCTCATTGAAAATAGGTAAATTTCTAAATATCACTGTCCTGGTCACAAAAGGACAGTTTGGGGGGAATAATAGCCATTTTCTGTACTTTTGAGGCATAAGCAATTAGGAAATAACACTTACTACCCAGGAACAAAAAAAAAGTGTTTTGTTACACAGTTAATTATGAAGTACACGCTGAGTGGCACCTGAGTCGGGAGTCGAACCCAGGGCACGTCTCGCTGTGCGGTGCCCATGGCCCCAAACCAACCCAGGGCCCCCCCCCCCCGTGCCCCACTCCCCCCCAACTCCTCTGTGCCCACCCCCGTGCCCCCCACACCCCCTGCGTCACCCCCCCCTCTTCTCCCCTACCCCCCTCTCCCTCTCCCCCCCCTGCGTCCCCACCAACCCCCCTCCGTGGCCCCCTCCACACCTCCCATGCCCCGTGGTGGAGCAGCTGGCAAGGCACTACTTTGCGCAAGCAGAAGAGGGGGAGGAGGGGGAGGAGGAGTTGCACAGCACGGAGGGGGTGGGCTGGCTGCTGCGCGCTGCCGCCCAGGGCCACGCGCTGGCCACGCGCCTCCTGCGCAGGTGCCAGCGCGAGGGGCGAGGTGCGACCCACACCACCACAGCCACCACAGCCACCACGGCCACCAACAACAACCACCAACATGACCACAACTACCACCAATACCACCACCATCTCAACCACAACAACCACCACCACGGCCACCACGGCCACCAACAACAACCACCAACATGACCACAACTACCACCAATACCACCACCATCTCAACCACAACAACCACCATCACAACCACCACGGCCAACACAGCCACCACCAACACAACCACCGCCACCACCAACACAAACCCCGCAACCAAAATTACCATCGCAATCACCACCATCTCAACCACAACAACCACCACCGCCAACACGATCACCACAACAACCACCACCATTATAGTTTCTCAATCCAACATCTCCACTGAAGAATAGCTGAGTGAGACTCAGACCCAGGGCTTGAACCCAGGATTTCAGTGTCTCCTACCTGGCCATTATGAACCTTCTAAGAGAGAGAGAGACTCAGACCCAGGGTTGGAAGCCATGATCCCAGTGTCTCGACAGGACCACTATTTTTAAATCCTTTATATTAAGTTCACTTGCTTGCTTGCGTGCTTGCTTGCTTACGACCGTGCAAATCTTTCGGTCATTTTTTACCCCACTTCCCGTGATCCAATCGAGCTGACATTTTCCACACAGACTCGTTGTACCAGACAATTATTGTTCGTGAAAAAAAATTCCCAAAATTTTACACTTTTTTGGCAAAAAAAATTTATTTTACATATATTCAAATAGAAACTAATTCTTGGCTTTGGCTGAACGTCACAGTATAAGAGCCCAGAGCGTAACCCCTCCACAGGCCGTGGCGGAGTAGTGCAGTTGGTAGCGCCCTCGCTTCCCATGCCAAAGGTCGCGGGATCGATCCCCGCGTCCTCCACAGGCGAATATATTTTTAAATCCTTTATATTAAGTTCGCTGCCACGCATATAAAAGATTTATAGTGAAAAACTTTGTTTTTACGGGTTATACTTATTTCATTTATTTGATGGCCCCCCCACTCTCTCCACCCCGCCCCTCAGGGCTGACGGAGGAGAACCGTGAGCGCGTGCGGGAGCTGGCGCAGGAGTCTGCGTTTGAGCGCTCGGTGCGCAGGGCTTCACTGCTGCTCTACTGGCGCCTCAATCCTCAGCGCAAGGCCCGCGTGGCGCCCAGCGAGCTGCTGGAGAACGTCCCCTCCATCAACGCCCACGGTGCCACCACCCCCACCGCCACCACCGTGGGCCATGCGCGTCCCCGGAGGCCGTCACACAGGGCCTCCGGGAGCCTCCAGGGGACCTCCAGGGCCTCGAGGGGCCTCCAGGTGGCTTCCAGGAGCCTCTGAGGTCTCTTGGGGCCTCCAGCAGGCCTCGGGGGCAGGCGCTCGGCAACATTGATTCAAACTTACAACGATGCACGCAGTCAGCGGCTGCATGGCTGTGAGGACGAGAAAGCGAACACGTGACTTGGGGTGACTATCCCGTTGCTTCCCACCCCCACCCTTAGAGGCTGCAAGCCGGACTCCGCTGCCCAAGCTGCTGCGCCAGCAGAGCGAGGTGGTCACGCGGCTGCTCAACTCCAATGGTGGGGGGCACAGGGGTGGGACACGGGGGTGGGCGGGTCTGAACAGGCAGGGACAGAGGGGGCAAGTGGGGTGGCATGGCCAGCTACAGACACCCATAGACTCACACAGAGACCCATAGTCTAACACAGAGACCCACAGAATCACATAGAGATCCATAGACTCACATAAAGACCGATAGACTCACATAGAGACCCACAGACTTGCATAGAGACCCTTAGACTAACACAGTGGTCCATAGATGTTTATAGAGACCCATAGATTCACATAGAGACAAGTTGATTCTGTCTGCTTGTAGGGTGGCCTTCTGGGTTTGAGCTGCATGTGTTCTCTCCCTCCTGGGCAGCAGCCTCGCACAGCCTCTCGGAGGCCGACTTCCTGCAGCTCACGGGGGGCTACGCTCGCGGCCTGCCCCCCGCAGGCCGCGCCGCCATGGCCGCCACCTCCACTGTCCTCCCGGACGGCAATCACGGTAGTGGACGCTCAGCGCCATCCGGCATGGCCCTGCGCGACAAGGTGCACCACTTTCCATCGGTTCCATCTCCCTTCCCCATGGGTGGGCGTCGAGGAAGAACCCTAACCCTCTTTGCCTCGAATCACTGCACCAGATTGAATTAAATGATGACGTCGCCCTACTGCTGCTCTATTTAAGACCGGGAGCAACAGGAGAGCTTCACCATTCTTGCCCGATGAAGCTGATTGTAATTACCAGCGAAACATCGTACTCAAATTTTAAAATGCTGTTGAATTATTTTGTCCTTTGAAAAAGGTGACACATTTTTTACTGTTTGGCCGTGTCGAGTGGTGGAGGGTTACGACACATTTATAAATAGCGCAATCTGACCCAAAAAACTTATATTATGAATAATATTGGTCGCAAAAGCCTACGTGCTAAACTGCCCATTACTGACTAACTATTTTTTATTTTACCAGTTAAGGCCCACTGAGCTACATAGCTTTTTTTCAGAAGTGACCTGGCCACAAGTGAGAGCTCAACGAAGTGGCTTATCGTGTGGACACTTATAGCAGTCAAAGACTCTAAACACATGTTTCTAAATGTGGAGGGAAAAACCGTAGGGCACGGAGAAAAATCCACACAACCACGGGGAGAACATGCAAACTCCCAATGTACAGACGTCAGGGTCGGGATCTAACCCACGCCCTCCTGTATACGAGGCGAGGTAGTTAACGCCATCCCCCGTCATTGGCGCGTGTGCAGCTGCTGCGCTACCCGCTGGGCGCGCTGCTGGACGCCAAGGAGCAAGCACTGGAGGCGGCATCGCGTGCGGGGCTGCACTGGCTGCAGGCGGCGCTGCCCACGCAGCAGCTCAATGCGCTGCTCGTGTTCCTCGTCGTCAGCCGCCTCACCCTGGACTTCTTCGCACTCGCTGTGCCGCTCGCCGTCTTTGCACTCGCGTTCGCCACAATGGTCGTGTGCACGCTCAAGGTGGCTATCGCGCGGAGAGACTCGCATAGGGGGACGGACTCACGCCGAGACACGGAGAGGCAAAGAGACTTGCACAGAGACGTGGAGAGACTCGCCTAGACACACGGAGACTCAGAGAGACTCGTACAGAGATGCAGAGAGACTCACCTAGAGACACGTAGACGCAGAGACTTACGCAGAGAGAAAGAGTTAGACCCGGGCCCTCCTCGCCGTTACACCGCATCCCCCAACATGACCTCGTGATGATCCCGTGAAACCTACCATGACCCCGTGATGTCCCCGTGACAACCCCCAGGTGTTTCAGAGCGGCCGAGCGTGGGACGACTTCCGCACATGGACGGAGCTGCTGCGGCGCTTCGAGCCGGCCCTGAGCATAGAGGAGGCAGAGAGCGAGTTCGGCTGGACCCACCTGGAGCCATACCTCCACTTCATCCTCGCCGTCTTCTTCGTCATCTTCTCCCTGCCGCTCACTGACAGGTAGCTCCATCTCCCTGTCCGTCCGCCTCTCTCTCCATCTCTCTGTCTCTCTCCATCTCTCTATCCCTTCATATCTCTCTGCCCATCCGTCCAACCATATGTCTGTCCATCTATCTGTCTGTCTGTCCCTCTGTCCATATGTTCACATTATCCTAACCGCCTTTGTCTCTCCAGTGCAACTCAGGTCACCGGGTTCATTGGCAGTGTGCTAATCTACAGTAACTGACATGGCCATTGTGAATTGGCCACAGCCATTGTGAACCCACATAGACCCACACACAGACCCAAACCCATGGCTTGAATCCCAAACCAAAATTTCTTAATGTTTCGGAACTGGCCATTGTGAACCCGCCACCCCGTGCCTTTCATTATGTGGTTTGTGTGTTTGTTTGACTTTAGCCTTTCTGGTGACAACCCAAGTCTCTGTTGAAGATGAGGCTCCTATTGTGGCCTCTTGAGTCACACAGAATAAACCTCAATCTCTGCCCTTGACCTTCACCTTGTTTGTGTTTCAGGTCATGGCTTCCAACCTCTGAGCTGGCCCTGATCTCCACCTTCTTCTCCACCTCCATCTTCCTCAGCCTGAGGCAGCGGTGTGGGCCATTCACCACCCGCACATTCCTCACACAGGTGGCTGCTTCGGCCATCGAGGGTAATGGGCCCACAGACACCCAATCAGTACACCTGGCCCACTCGGTCCGTAGCTATGGATTCACTAGGCCATAACCACGGATACACAAGGCCATAGCCACGGATACACTAGGCCATAACCATGGATACACAAGGCCATAGCCACAGATACACTAGGCCGTAGAGACAGATACACTAGGCCATAGACACAGATACACTAGGCCATAGACACAGATACACTAGGCCATAGCCACAGATACACTAGGCCGTAGACACAGATACACTAGGCCATAGACACAGATACACTAGGCCGTAGACACAGATACACTAGGCCATAGACACAGATACACTAGGCCGTAGACACAGATACACTAGGCCATAGACACGGATACACTAGGCCGTAGCCACGGATACACAAGGCCATAGACACAGATACACTAGGCCATAGACACAGATACACTAGGCCGTAGACACAGATACACTAGGCCGTAGCCACGGATACACTAGGCCGTAGACACAGATACACTAGGCCATAGACACAGATACACTAGGCCATAGACACAGATACACTAGGCCATAGACACAGATACACTAGGCCATAGACACAGATACACTAGGCCATAGACACGGATACACTAGGCCATAGACACAGATACACTAGGCCATAGACACAGATACACTAGGCCATAGCCACGGATACACTAGGCCGTAGACACAGATACACTAGGCCATAGACACAGATACACCAGGCCGTAGACACAGATACACTAGGCCATAGACACAGATACACTAGGCCATAGACACAGATACACTAGGCCATAGACACGGATACACTAGGCCATAGACACGGATACACTAGGCCATAGACACAGATACACTAGGCCATAGACACAGATACACTAGGCCATAGACACGGATACACTAGGCCGTAGACACAGATACACTAGGCCATAGACACAGATACACTAGGCCATAGACACAGATACACTAGGCCGTAGACACAGATACACTAGGCCATAGACACAGATACACTAGGCCGTAGACACAGATACACTAGGCCATAGACACAGATACACCAGGCCGTAGACACAGATACACTAGGCCATAGACACAGATACACTAGGCCATAGACACAGATACACTAGGCCATAGACACGGATACACTAGGCCATAGACACGGATACACTAGGCCATAGACACGGATACACTAGGCCGTAGCCACGGATACACAAGGCCATAGACACAGATACACTAGGCCATAGACACAGATACACTAGGCCGTAGACACAGATACACTAGGCCGTAGCCACGGATACACTAGGCCGTAGACACAGATACACTAGGCCATAGACACAGATACACTAGGCCATAGACACAGATACACTAGGCCATAGACACAGATACACTAGGCCATAGACACAGATACACTAGGCCATAGACACGGATACACTAGGCCATAGACACAGATACACTAGGCCATAGACACAGATACACTAGGCCATAGCCACGGATACACTAGGCCGTAGACACAGATACACTAGGCCATAGACACAGATACACCAGGCCGTAGACACAGATACACTAGGCCATAGACACAGATACACTAGGCCATAGACACAGATACACTAGGCCATAGACACGGATACACTAGGCCATAGACACGGATACACTAGGCCATAGACACAGATACACTAGGCCATAGACACAGATACACTAGGCCATAGACACGGATACACTAGGCCGTAGACACAGATACACTAGGCCATAGACACAGATACACTAGGCCATAGACACAGATACACTAGGCCGTAGACACAGATACACTAGGCCATAGACACAGATACACTAGGCCGTAGACACAGATACACTAGGCCATAGCCACAGATACACTAGGCCATAGACACAGATACACTAGGCCGTAGACACAGATACACTAGGCCATAGACACAGATACACTAGGCCGTAGACACAGATACACTAGGCCATAGACACAGATACACTAGGCCATAGCCACGGATACACTAGGCCATAGCCACAGATACACTTGGCCGTAGACACAGATACACTAGGTCATAGACACAGATACACTAGGCCATAGACACAGATACACTAGGCCATAGCCACAGATATACTAGGCCGTAGACACAGATACACTAGGCCATAGACACAGATACACTAGGCCGTAGACACAGATACACTAGGCCATAGACACAGATACACTAGGCCATAGCCACGGATACACTAGGCCGTAGACACAGATACACTAGGCCGTAGACACAGATACACTAGGCCGTAGACACAGATACACTAGGCCGTAGACACAGATACACTAGGCCGTAGACACAGATACACCAGGCCATAGACACAGATAGACTAGGCCATAGACACATACACTAGGCCGTAGACACAGATACACTAGGCCGTAGACACATACACCAGGCCATAGACACAGATACACTAGGCCATAGACACAGATACACTAGGCCATAGACACAGATACACTAGGCCATAGACACAGATACACTAGGTCATAGACACAGATACACTAGGTCATAGACACAGATACACTAGGCCATAGACACAGATACACTAGGCCATAGACACAGATACACTAGGCCATAGACACAGATACACTAGGCCATAGACACAGATACACTAGGCCATAGACACAGATACACTAGGTCATAGACACAGATACACTAGGTCATAGACACAGATACACTAGGTCATAGACACAGATACACTAGGCCATAGACACAGATACACTAGGCCATAGACACAGATACACTAGGCCGTAGCCACAGATACACTAGGCCATCTTGGTACTCAGGACCAATGTGTAACCAGAAGCCAGTCAGGTACCTTTTGTGTGAAGACCAACTTTTGTTGTCATGGTAAAAATAATTTCTCTTTCAATGTCCTGTTTCGTTCCTTTCATCTACCACACTATTTAAGGAACTAAACAGTATTTCTCCACAAATCTAGCTGTCACCTGATGAAGCTCGTTGTAATTTTCTGGCAAAATGTCGTACTAGTAACGAATTGGCATGTTCTGTTTACATGACAAACCTTACTAATTGTCTCTGTCGGGTGGTGGCGGGTTTTAATGACACATTTATATATTCATAATCAACGTTTTTGGGTTTAGATCGCGTTTATTTATAAATGTGTCGTAACCCTCCACCACCCGACACGGCCAATCAGTAAAAATGTGTCACGTTGACAAAGACAAATAGTTCACTGCTTTAGCCCACCGGTGTGTTGAAGCCACAACATTTACAATTTGAGTACGACGTTTCGCTGGTAATTGCAACCAGCATCATCGGGCAATTCGCCAGAATGGTGAGGCTCTCCTGTGTCTCCCGTTCTTATATAGAGCAGCAGCAAGGTGACGTCATCATTAACTCATTAACTCATCAGGTGCCAAGATTCAAGGGGGGAGTGATTGTAATTATATACTAGATTAGTAATCAGGCTATTGTTACGATGCGAGTTGTAGATTAGTAATCATTTGGAATGTGTTTTATTGTGATTATGCTACATTAGTAATCAGTTAGTGGTTGTTTCCCTTATAAGTAATTGTAATGTATCTTATTTAATAATACGCTTCCAGGCCGCACTAAGCCTGTAGCTGTCTGAGCGATTAAAGTTATTTCTGTTTCTCTCAATTTCAATCGATTCTCTAATTAGTCTTTGCCAGTAGTAACTAGTTTTACACAACACTTCCACGTTGTCAAAATCAATTGAGTGTCCCTGTTGGCATGCATGTTCTGCTACTGCCGACAGTTGTGTTTGTGATAGTTTAATATTTCTCTGGTGTTCTTTTAGTCTTACACTAACGTTACGCCCTGTCTGTCCAATATAGCATCTGCCACATACACAATTAATCCGATATACACCTTCTGTTGATAATTTAGGTAATTCGTCTTTAGTGCACGTTACTAGTTGTTGAATTTTGTGTACTGTACCAAATCTTACTGTAATGTTTTGCTTTTGCAAAACACGGGCTAATTTATCAGTTACTCCTGAGATAAATGGTATTTTTATTGTTTTAATAATCTGATCGCTTTCAGCAGTGTTGCTTTGCGGTCGTGATTTGGCTTTTAGTGCTCTGTTAATTTGAGCATTATTGTAGCCATTCTGTCTTAGTGCTTCTTTAACATGTTTAATCTCTCTCACTAGACTTTCACCATCTGACACTGTTTTAGCCCGATGTATGAGCGTCTTGATAAGAGAGGATTTCTGAGCTGGGTGATGATGCGAATCTGCATTCAGATAGGCATCAGTGTGCGTTGGCTTTCTGTAAACGCTGTGTGTTATTTTACCGTTTGGGCCATGCCCAAGTAAAATATCCAGGAACGGGAGTGTGTTATTCACCTCCATTTCCATGGTGAACTGAATGGCCGGGTTTTGTGCATTGAGATGATTTAGAAAATCGTTAGGTGTATCTTTACCATGTGGCCAGACAACCAAAGTGTCATCCACATATCTAAACCAAAAGGATGGTTTTAATGTGCTCGAGGCAAGTGCTCTGGTTTCAAAGTTTTCCATGTACAAATTTGCTATAGCAGGAGATAAAGGAGAGCCCATTGCTGCTCCCTCCCTTTGTTTAAAGAATTCGCCTCTCCATAAGAAGTAAGTGTTATTTAAACAATGGTCTGCGAGTTTCGGAATATCTTTTGGTAAACCTGTATTCTTTACCAGTGTATCAAGTAATTTAAGCGACTCGCTCACTGGAACCTTAGTGAATAGCGAAATCACATCAAAACTCACCAAAATATCATTAGGGTTAAGTTTAATATCTTTGATCATATTCACAGGATGTTCTGAATTTCTTATGAATGATGATGTCCTACCGATGTAAGGCTGAATTTGTTTAGTTACATATTTTGCTAATTTATAGGTGGCAGAGCCAATTGTACTGACTATAGGTCGTAAAGGGATGCCGACTTTATGGATCTTTGGTAGCCCATACAGTCTAGGTGGTTTTGAAACCTTTGGCTTCATTAGGAATTGCTCATT